AGCACAATGCTGCAACGAGCTCAATGCTCTGATACAACTTTCAAAGCCCTTCTGAAATAGTTGGCTCAGTGGACTCCCACTCACATTATAATTAGAATCGCACCTGCTACGTCCAGCATGTGTTAGGTTTCTGAAAATACTAAAGAAGGAAGATAACAAAAATATTCATACTGATGTCCTTAAAGGGATTGTAGTTCTAGGACTTTGCGGGTGTGGGTGAGAGGGAAAGGGGGTAGGAATAGTCATTTGCCTTTGCATCTAAAGTATTCTAGTTAATGCTAGTCTGTAGGAACCCTTTGAGGCAAATTGTGGTAAAACATTTTTTTCCCACCTACTTATTTTATTTTTACTTTTATTAGAATCTTTGTTTTTATTTATTTTGTGGTTTTATATATATATGTATATACTTTAAATTCTGGGGTACATATGCAGCTCGTGCAGATTTGTTACATAGGTATACACATACCATAGTGGTTTGGTGCATCCATCCCCCCGTCATCTACATTAGGTATTTCTCCTAATGTTATCCCTCCCCAATCCCCCCACCCCCTGCTATCCCTCCCCTAGCCCCCCTGCCCCCTCAACAGGCCCCAGTGTGTGATGTTCCCCTCCCTATTTCCAGGTGTTCTCATTGTTCGACACCCACTTACGAGTGAGAACATGTCCACCTACTTATTTTATAGTTTTCAAGAGAGAAAGAGAGAGAAAGAAAGAAAGACAGAGAGAGAGAAAGGAAGGAAAGAAGGAAATTTATTTCTTACAATTCAGGAGGCTGCAAAGTCCAAGGCCAAAGGACCCACATCTGGTCAGAGCCTTCTTACTACATCGTAGCATGGTGGAGGGCATCGCATTGCAAGAGGACAAGAGCATGCCAGCTCAACCCTACCCTGATGACCCTACCTCCCAAAGGCCCTCACCACCTCCAAATATAATAACATATGAAATTTGGGGGACACATTCAAGCTACAACAGAGAGTAAAGCCAACAAAAGGAAAACAGGGCTGAGAGAGAAAGGAGTCCAGATCCTGATCATATCAAGTGAACAGCTGGATCCAGCTATGCCAACTGCTATACCCTTTGATTTTACAGTTTAATGTACTGACTTCCTGTTGCGCTTAGGCAGTTTGAACTGAATGTCTTATCACTTGCAAGTAAGTGTCCCGATTAGACTTTGTCATTTAAGCATTTAATGAACACATATTGAGCATCTACTATATTCCAGGGCAATACTAAGAAGTGCTGAGGATACATATTTGAATGAGATAATTTTTCCTTATAAATCAAAAATTTGAAAACTTCACATTTTATTAGTACCTGACCCATTTGTGCTCTCTCTCTCCACCTCTCCCACACTCTCTGTCTCGCTCACACACACACACACGCTCTTATTTTTCTCTGAAACATTTGAGAGTAAGTTGAAAAGATTGACTAGAATTAGGACAGTCTCATTATTAACTTCAGAAAATTTAACATTGATCTAATATTATCTATTATACAGCCTTTATTCAAATTTAACTACTATACTAATATTGAATATAGCAATGTTTAGGCCAGATGCAGTGGCTCATGCCTGTACTCCTAACACTTTGGGAGGCTGAAGCAGGCTGATAGATCCCTTGGTCACAAGAATATGAGACCAGCCTGGGCCACATGGCAAAACCCCAACTCTAATAAAAATACACACAGAAAAATTAGCAGGCTGTGGTGGTATGTACCTGTAGTCTCAGCTACCTGGGAGGCAGAGGTGGGAGCATCACTTGAGCCCCAGAGATTGAGGCTGCAGGGAGCTGTGATTGTACCACTGTACTCCGGAAGCTTGGGTGACAGAGCTGGGGAAAAAAAAAAAGAAAATAGCAATTTTTTATTTCTTTAATCTACAATTTAATCCAGGATCGCACATTATATTTCATTATCATGTTTCTTTAGTGTCCTTTAATGTACAATGATTTATCAGCCCTCATTTTGAAAGAGTGCTTGCCTGTTGTTTTATAGAATGTTGATTAGTAGAATGTAGAAACCAAGATCTGGGCACCTGAGGTTAGTCTGAATGCCTTCTTGTGATTTGATTATGAGTATGCATTCTTGGCAAGAATGCAATGTAAATGTTGTGTGTCTCCTTTAGTGCATCATAGCAGGAACAATCTGCTGTCAGTTCATCCCATCATGGGCGATATTAACTTTAATCACTTGGCTGAAGTAGTATCTATCGGACTTAGGTAAATGTACCATTTTCCCCTTTGTAATTAATAAGTAATATGAGAAGATGCTTTGAGTCTGTATAAGTATCTTGTTCCTCAATAAATTATCACCCAATAATTTTAGGATCCACTGATGGGTTTTGCCTAAATCAATTAATAACACAGCAGTTGAAAAATAGTAATATTGAAAACTCTATTGTTTCTTATACATTTTTTCAGTTGCCTTTCTACTGTAAATAAAAACTTTCTCTTTTCCTGTTCTTTTTTAATGTTTGTTTTTAGTATAAGTGTGGACTCATGGAATCTTTTCTTTTCACTTTTGAAATAAATTCAAACTTAAAAGGTGCAAAAATAGAACAAAGAGCTTCCCCATCCTCTGAACCATTTGACAAAGAGTTGCTGACATAGTGTCTAATATCCCTGAAAAATTTAGAATATTCCTACAAACAAGGACTTTCTCCTACATAACCATGATACAACCATTTATATCAGGAAGATAGTATTGATAATTACTATAATCAAATCCCCATTCATTTCTCCAATTGTTCCATTAATGTCCTTTATTGCAAATGAATCCAATCCAGGAATACATGTTGCATTTAGTTGCCATATTTATTTATCTTTCTTTGGCTTTATGACCTTGACTCTCTTAAAGGTCAGTTATTTTGCAGGATGTCCCTCAGTTTGCCTTTGCCTTATGCTTCCTTGTGATTAGATTCATGACTTCCATTTCGGTAGGGTATCACGGAAGCGAGGCTATATGTCCTCAGTGTATTCTATGACGTGGTGTGCGATTTCAGTTTGTCTAACATGCTGATGTTAACCTTCATTATTTGATTAACGTGCTCTCTGGCTCATGTTACTGCTTATAGTTACTCACTTTCTCTTTATACTCAGTATTTTGTGGAGAGTTATTTTGAGACCATGTAAGTATCCTGTTTCTCATCATTCACGCACTAATTTTATCATTTGATATTTTTAGTTAAATTTCTTATTACTATGATGATTGCCACATAGTGATTTTTCCAATTTTATCATTGTGTTTACTTTTATCAATTGACTTTCTTTTTTTTTTTTTTTTCAAGATGGAGTCTTACTCTGTTGCCCATGCTGGAGTGCAGTGGTGTGATCTTGGCTCACTGCAACCTCTGCCACTGGGGTCAAGCAATTCTTGTGCCTCAGCCTCTCGAGCAGCTGGGATTACAGGCATGCACCCCCATGCTGGCTAATTTTTGTATTTTTAGTAGAGATGGGGTTTCACCACGTTGGCCATGCTGGTCTCGAACTGACCTCAGGTGATCTACCTGCCTCGTTCTCCCAGCGTACTGGGATTATAGGGATGAGCCACTGCACCTGGCCTCAATTGGCTTTCCAATGTAAAGAAAAGTTTTTCTATCTATCATCTATCTACCTACTTACTTATTAATTTGTTTGTATCAGTATGGACTCATGAATTCCCATTTTATTTAATATATTATAATCTGTTACTAATGATATTTACTTTAATTTTTTGAGACAGGGCTTCACTCTGTCACCCAGGCTGGATGGAGTGCAGCAGCATGATCATAGCTCACTGCGGCCTCAACTTCCCCAGGCTTAGGTGAACCTCCCACCTCAGCCTCCCAAGTAGCTGGGACTACGAGCATGCACCACCACACCCTGCTAATTTTTTGTGTTTTTTGGAGAGCCAAGGATTCGCCATATTGCCCAGGCTGGATGATATTTATTTTGATGCTCAAATTGTTCCTTATTTACACAGTGGGAATCGCTTCAGAGACCTTTTGACAGTTCCTCATCATTTTTGGGCCACTCCTTTGCACAGGATATTCATTCTGTATTCCCTGGCCCAGTGCTGGAATCAGCTATTTTTTTTTTTTTTTTCTAAGAAGCACTGATTCCTAATAATGGGAAATGGAATTTAGAAACCAAGATCTGAGCACTAAGTGTGGATATTGCTACTGGGTTGTGGCTGCTTTTAAACACTTTTGGCCAACAAAGACAGGAAATCTATACCCACATATTTAAAATCATGACTTTATAGTGATTCCAGCACAGGGTTCTTCATCTCTAGCCCCGATTTCATATTTGCATATGAAATGCAATAGCAAAGTCTCTGGTTCAGCAAAAGCTCTGGTTTCCAAATATTTCAGTATAAATTTAGTCATTGACTCTATCCTATAATATCCAGAAAATACTTCCAGAATTCCTATCATTGCACTGCCAATGACAAAACTACTAAGCAAAGTTCAAGATGTATTTGCAGTTCTTTCTGTCATTAGGCTGTTTGTTTATATGTGCACAGGCCTTTTTTTCCCGGTGTGTTTATATCATTCATTTGATATACAGCTCAATTCATGTTGTTTGTGTTCAATTTTAGTTTTTCTGGCAACTTCATTAATTTTTTTTGAATTTATAAAAACACTAACATGTTTCCAAAAGTCAAAACTATACAAAAAGGTTTAGTCAGAGAAGTGACACTACCTCTCCTCCCCTTCCACCCTTTGCACACTCTCCCTCTGTAGGGGACATTATCATTAATTTTGTTTTTCTTTTTTAAGACAGAGTCTTGCTCTGTAGTCCAGACCGAAGTGCAGTGGCATGATCTCAGCTCGCTGCAACCTCCACCTCCTGACTGTAACCTCCGCCTCCTGGGTTCAAGCAATCCTCCTGCCTCAGCCTCCAAAATAGCTGGGATTACAGGTGTCCACCACCATGTGCAGCTAATTTTTGTATTTTTAGTAGAGATGGGGTTTTGCCATGTTGGCCAGGCTGGTCTCAAGCTCCTGACTTCAAATGATCCACCTGCCTCAGATTACAGGCATGAACCGCTGTGCCCAGCCTTATCATTAATTTCTGATTTATCCTTTTTGTGATTCTTTTTGCAAGAATTAGCTGATGTGTGCACATTTTAATATGGCCCCCTTTTCAAACATAAATTATAAAGTATACTCTTTTACACCTTGCCTTTTTTGGTTAACTTTATATGGCAGAAACCACACCTTTCAGAATTAAAGAGCTTGTTCTAATTTTCTTAAATAACAGCCTTATTAAGATAGTAATTCACATGCCATAAAATTGATCCATTTAAAGTATTTAATGGTTTTTAGTGTATTCACAGAGTTGTGTGACCATCATTACAATCAATTTTGTAACATTTTCCTCACCCCCAAAAGAAATCTGTACCCATTAGCAGTTACTCACCATTTCCCCCTAATTCCAGCAGCCCTGGGTAGCCAGCAACCTACTTTGTGTTTGTAGATGTGCCTATTCTGGATACTACATATATGTGGAATCAAATAATATGTCATCTTTTGCTCCTGTCTTCTGTCATTTAGCATTATTTCAAGGATCATCCATGCTGTAACACGTATCAGTACTTCATTTTTTTAAATTGCTGAATAATATGCCATTGTATAGATACAACACATTTTATTGCTTCATCCGACAGTTGCTGGGCGCTCAAATTGTTTCCACTTTTTGTCTCTTATGAGTGATGCTATTATGAACATGCATGTATAAGTTTTTGTGTGGATGTGCAGTTTTAATTATCTTGGGTATTTATCTGTGTTGTAGGACTTTCTCCTTAGTTCAGCTAAAAGCTGGGTTCTTGTCATGTGACCATCAAAGATTAGGCTCACAGACACTTTGAAGGGTGAGAAAGGGAGTGTTTATTGGATGAAAAGGAATAAAGGGGGGGAAACAGAGACTCTCAGCAAAGCAAAGATCCTGCTAGCTGGATTTCTGACTCACAGACTGAATCCCCGATACCTCCCTGGAACAGGAGAGGCCAGGCTCCTCCTGCCTGCAAACGTGCAAACTTCCTGAGGCTCCACCCCCAGTGCACACTCCTCCCAGTGCACAGGACAGTTGGAGGTTCTCCGGTGACCCCTTTATACTTGGCTGTCTCATTTGGATTGGAATTGCTGGATCATATGGTAACTCTACGATTAATCTTTTAAGGAACCGAAAGGCTGTTTTCCATAGCTGTGGCACCAGCTTATTGTCCCACTAGCAATGTATGAGGGTGCGGAATTCTCCTCATCCCCATCAACACTTGCTATTATCTGACATTTTCATTATAGCCATCTTAGTGGATGTAAAGTGATACCTCATGGTGGATTTCATTTTCATTTTGCTGATGCCTGATAATTCCTTTTTCTCTTTTACTGCAGCACAGTACTTCTTTGTGTGGATGTACCAAAATGAGTAAGGCAATTCTTGCAGTCTTTTGCCCTCTGGAAAGGCTCACTGACCAGTGCAAGAGGCAGATTCTTAAACTAGTAATTAGAACACATCACTGGAAAAATTATTGAGGTAAGAACAGGACACTCCAGAAGGAGAAAAGAAGAAATTCATCCTAACTGGGAGATGAAAGGTTTTAAAGAGAGGTGAGTCTGAAAGGATAACTTGGAGGCCGGGAGAAGAGCCTTTGCCAGGCAGAGATGCTTCAAAGAGCTTGTGTGCTTAGAGACTCAGCTCTCCTCCCCTATATTCACTGTGCTTAGGACTTCACATGTGGGCTACTTATGACAGTGATCTTTATAACAGTACATGTGGACTACTTATCAAAGTGAATCTTTTTTTTTTTTTTCCTATACAGCTAATTTTCATTCTTCCTAGCAATACAGGCAGTCAGGGAGAAGGACTGGTGGGGATGTTAAATTTTCTGTGGTCACATTGGTCTATCAATAAATGAACAGTATAATAAAACAAGACACTGAGTGCCATAATATGTCTAAATTATAATTAAATACTTTGCAATCCATGCCAAGTCCTTCCCTTTGTGGGTATAAATACATAATGATAATCTAGATTTATTTTGCTGGCATCTGACCATAATGAAATCAACCTGGATCGTTCTCATTTCCTTAATCCACTTCTAAATTCCTGCTAGGTAAGTTACAAGTTGGCTGGCATGTCTGTGAGAAGAGTAGAGTCTTGGTTTGTTCTAGGTTTGCATGTGGCTTGGCTGGGGGAACACTGTACCCCAGTAGGTGGACTATTCCTATCTTTCTTCTCAAGGGTCTGTCTGGGTGCCAGGTCTGGACCATTCACAGCCGAGTTCATTCTATCACCATTCCAGGTGCCTGGTTATGACAGGAAGAATCAGGTTCCTGGTCTGATTTTCGAGCCTTGCTCCTTGGACAAGCTGTGGGCATTTGTCTGGTTTATTAATGGCCCTTTGCTTGCTCTGCCCAGGCAATCTGGGACTGGTTGTAATAAGATGTAAACTGAAAAGTTCTTCTGGCTCTTCTGGCTTCTTTGATCATCATCTGCTCATTTATTCAAAATTTCATTTTCAAATTCTGTGAGGATGGTATCTGCTAATGCCTAGTGCTGACACTGGCCTCAACCAGGACATAGAATTCTCTTGTTCCCTTAGGTTCAACATATCCTGACTTAGGTTCCTATAATACTTTGATCAGAGTGTTCCACTCAAATTCACCTGCAATAAAGGTGATCCCCAAGAGCCCAGAAACCAGTAATTAAAAAGGAACAAGAAACTGGGACTAGAAGTGTTTGGGACAGGAGACTTAACATTTCATTTGCCTGGACTATGCAGTTTTTTTTGTTGTTGTTAAACAAAGCATACATATTAATTACAGGAAAAAGAAAAAATGAATTCACTAAATTTTTAGCTTGGAATTGAAGTCCTTTCTTCAGATTAGGTTAGCATCAAAGCCCCTCTGGTGGCTTTCTTCAGAGGCCAGCAGCAGGACTCTTCTCTGACTGTCATCACTGGCCTTTTCTCATACTTAACTCTAAGAGCTTCTTTTCTTTTTCCATGCAGATGTCAGAAAGGAAAAAAAAAAAGTATAATAGAGGGCATCTGGAGGTGTGAGTACTCACTGGGAGTGAGATCATGCAGTCAAGTGGCTGAGAACACAGAACATAGGGATAAGGCTGATGTGACAAGGGGGGTCCTGACAAGCTACTTGTGGCTCAGCAAGACCTCAGAGAAGAACATCCTTCCCCTTGGCCCTGAGTGGCCATTGCTTCTCCTTTCTTTAAAACAGTAATAATCTCTAACACTTATTTGACATCCGGCATTGTGCTAAGCTTTTTAACTCCATGATCTCATTTAATTCTTGCAATGTTCCTTTAAAATGGAGACTAATAAACCCATTTCACAGATAAGGAGACTGAAGCTCAAAAAGGTGATATTATCTGCGCAAGGGTCAACTAGCTAGAGATAGACAGAGCTAGAATTCAAATCCAGGATGGTCTGACTCGAGAATTGAAACCAAAAACCACCATGCAAGGCTGTTTTTTCTGGGTATAATGCACTTTTTAGATGTGTACTGAAACATTATGAGGTGTTCAATAAATCCAATTTGAAAATATTCATTGGCCTGGTGCACTGGTTCAGGCCTATAATCCTACTACTTTGAGAGGCTGAGGCGGGCAGATCATTTGAGGTCAGAAGTTCAAGACCAGCCTGACCAACATGGTGAAAACCCATATCTACTAAAAATGAAAAAATTAGCTGCGAGTGGTGGTGCATGCCTGTAATCCCAGCTACTCATGAGGCTGAGGCAGGAGAATTGCTTGAACCTGGGAGGCAGAGTTTGCTGTGAGTCAAGATCGCACCACTGCTTGGACAGAGGAAGAGCCTGGATGACGCAGGGGGACTCTGTCTCAAAAAAAAGAAAAAGAAAATATTCATTAGCTGGGGGGCATGGTGGGGTGCACCTGTAGTCCCAGCTATTCAGGAGGCTGAGGCAGGAGGATGGCTTGACCCAGGAGTTTGAGGCTGCAGTGAGCTGTGACTTTGCCTTTGCACTCCAGTCTGCAAAATAGAGTAAGACTCTGTCTCAAAAGAAAAAAATAAAAAAATTCAGATACTTGGTGCTATCATAGTCAAGCATTTACTTAAAGTTTCAAAACCGTCACTTTTCATTTGTTTTACAGGTTAAGTAAAATAATGTTATATTTAAAATTTCACTCCTGGAACTTCATCTGCATTGTAAGGTTGGTACAATTATGTTTCTGCATTGCCATAGTAAGCTCAGTTAACTCAATTAGAAGCTACTTAGATTTCCTGACTTTAATAGGATTTGTTAAGTAATTATAAATCTATATCTATGCCTGTCTAGCTATCTGTCTATCAATACACCATTTGGCTTCTATTTCTTAGCTTACTTATTTTACTTCCACTGAAATATAATAACATTTATAAAATTAAAAGCTAGGCCAGATATGGTCACTCACATCTGTAATTCCAACACTTCAGAGGCTGAGATGGGAAAATCATTTGAGGTCAGAAGTTCAAGACCAGCTTAAGCAAAATAGACCTGTCTCTGCAAAAAAATTAAAAATTAGCCAGGTGTGGTGGTGTGTGTCTGTAGTCCTAGCTACTCAGGAGCCTGAGGCAGGTGGATTGCTTGAGCTTAGAAGCTTGAGATTACAGTGAGCTCTGATCACACCACTGCACTCCAGCCTGAGAGACAGAGATCTTATCTCTAAAAAAAAGAAAAAAAAAAAAAAAAAAGGTAAACCATAAGCACTCGAATTTTATAAAAACTCTGTCATAAGTATAAGGGGTTAGACAGGCAGGACACCAAAATTATAAGAGCTAAAACGATATATAATAGTTATATATGTTATACAATTTATTATATATAATACAATATAATCATGGTAAGGCAGCTTGTATGTTCTCCTGCTATTGCACAGTTTGTCATTATGATGTGATGAGCACCTGCACACAGCAGATGGACCTGCACATTACCCAGCATTTCCTGGAAGGCAGCCCCAGGGCTGTGAGAGCATGCTTATTTGAACAATTTCTTGTTAGTGGTCCTATAAAGTTCCTGAATTTTTTTTGAATAGTGCAGAACTACAGCCTTCATAATCAGTTTACAGGAAGTTCAAATAATTGCTCTAAGATGGCAGAAGTTTCATTCCACATTGTTTACCAAAATGATTTAATCTGGCCATTTAATGAATACACTGGCGGTCTGTAACATACGTACATGTTTTTACTACTGTTTTCAAATGAGTGTGGTACATCTTTATCTTCTGACATGAGAAATTTTTGTGATATACTGTCTAATAGGACAGAAGTTTCAGGACAGGATGTACAATATGATTCCATTTTTGTAAAAATTAATCAATTAAAAAAAAATCTATCTATATGTATCTATCTAAAAAAGAATCCATCTGGGCATAGTGGTATGCATGCTTATTCCCAGGTACTTAGGATGCTAAGGCAGGAGGGTCGCTTGAGCCCAGGAGTTCAAAGCTGCAGTAAGATCACACCACTGCACTCCAGCCCGGGCCACAGAGGGAGACCTTGTCAAAAAAAAAAACAACAAAACAAAAAGGAGAAAAATGAAAGAAGAATCTACTAGACTACTTAAAGTCCAGGGGAGTTAAACCTTCCATTTATATTTTGCATTCATGTGCTGCTAATTTTTTAACTATATGGGAGTTTATTAATGATGCAATCCCTGATTTAAGGTACAAGAAATGCATCAGAACTCCAGATGTTGAAGTCCTATACAGATTCTTGCTTTGAAAATATGATCTGAGAGCAATGTGATTGCAGTCCTTGGAATATATAGTCTTCTCTGACTGTTGCTGTGACTTTACCTATTTATTTTAAATCCGTACATATTTAATGCATACAGCATGATGAGTTCAGAGATAAGTATACATCCATGAAACCATTTCCAGTCTATGCCATAAACATATTAATTACCTCCAAATGTTTCCTCCCACCCTCATTATTATTTGTGATAATAACTCTTAACATTGATCTACCATCTTAGCAAATTTTTAACAATACAATGCAATATTATTAACTACAGGCACTATGTTGTACAGATGTCTAGGGCCTATCCATATTGCTAACTGAAATTTTTTATGCCCTTTGACCAATAGCTCTCCATTTTCCTTTGCCATATGCCCTGGCAACCACCATTCTACTCTCTGATTCTACGACTTTTGCTATATCTGATACCTCATATAAGTGGTATCATGCAGTATTTGTCCTTCTGTGTTAGGCTTATTTCACTTAGCATAATATGTCCAGGTTTAGTCATACTGTTGCAAATGGCAAGATTCTTTCTTTCTCTTTTAAGACTAAATAATATTCCACTGTATGTATATATACCACATTTTCTTTATCAATTTGTCCTTTGGAAATTTAGGTTGGTTGCTTTCATGTCTTGGCTATTGTGAATAATGCTGCAAGTGAACACAGGAGTGAAGACGTCTCTTTGGGATACTGATTTCGATTCCTTTGGATATATGCCCAGAAGTGGGATTTTTGGATCACATTCTATTTTTAATTTTTCGAGAAATTTCCAAACTGTTTTCCACCATGGCTACACCAATTTACAATTCCACCAACAGTGTAGAAGGATTCCCTTTTCTTTACTTTCTCACTTGTTGAATTTTTAAAGTATCACCTTTGAAAGAGAAAAACTGTATTTTTAAAATAAAAGTATTTCTCCAGGCACAGTGGCTCATGCCTGTAATCCCAGCACTTTGGGAAGCTGAGGCAGGTGGATCGCTTGAGCCCAGGAGTTCAAGACCAGCCTGGCCAACATGGTGAGACCCTGTCTCTAAAAAAAAAAATACAAAAATTAGCTGTGCTGGTGGCGTGCACCTGTAGTCCCAGCTACTCAGGAAGCTGAGGTGGGAGGATCACCTGAGCTTAGGAAGTCGATACTGCAGTGAGCTGAGATCGTGCCCCTGCACTCCAGCCTGGGTGACAGAGTGAGAACCTATCTAAAAGAAAGAAAGAAAAAACATCAAGAAACGCAAGCCGGGCCGGGTGCGGTGGCTCAAGCCTGTAATCCCAGCACTTTGGGAGGCCGAGGCAGGTGGATCACAAGGTCAAGAGATCGAGACCATCCTGGTCAACATGGTGAAACCCTGTCTCTACTAAAAATACAAAAAATTAACTGGGCATGGTGGCACGTGCCTGTAATCCCAGCTACTCAGGAGGCTGAGGCAGGAGAATTGCCTGAACCCAGGAGGCGGAGGTTGCGGTGAGCCGA